AAGTTGCCCTGAACGCAACACTTCTACCTTATCGACTCTCGTCAATAGAGCGATAAGTCCTCAAAGTTGCCCTGAACGCAACACTTCTACCTTATCGACTCTCGTCAATAGAGCGATAAGTCCTCAAAGTTGCCCTGAACGCAACACTTCTACCTTATCGACTCTCGTCAATAGAGCGATAAGTCCTCAAAGTTGCCCTGAACGCAACACTTCTACCTTATCGACTCTCGTCAATAGAGCGATAAGTCCTCAAAGTTGCCCTGAACGCAACACTTCTACCTTATCGACTCTCGTCAATAGAGCGATAAGTCCTCAAAGTTGCCCTGAACGCAACACTTCTACCTTATCGACTCTCGTCAATAGAGCGATAAGTCCTCAAAGTTGCCCTGAACGCAACACTTCTACCTTATCGACTCTCGTCAATAGAGCGATAAGTCCTCAAAGTTGCCCTGAACGCAACACTTCTACCTTATCGACTCTCGTCAATAGAGCGATAAGTCCTCAAAGTTGCCCTGAACGCAACACTTCTACCTTATCGACTCTCGTCAATAGAGCGATAAGTCCTCAAAGTTGCCCTGAACGCAACACTTCTACCTTATCGACTCTCGTCAATAGAGCGATAAGTCCTCAAAGTTGCCCTGAACGCAACACTTCTACCTTATCGACTCTCGTCAATAGAGCGATAAGTCCTCAAAGTTGCCCTGAACGCAACACTTCTACCTTATCGACTCTCGTCAATAGAGCGATAAGTCCTCAAAGTTGCCCTGAACGCAACACTTCTACCTTATCGACTCTCGTCAATAGAGCGATAAGTCCTCAAAGTTGCCCTGAACGCAACACTTCTACCTTATCGACTCTCGTCAATAGAGCGATAAGTCCTCAAAGTTGCCCTGAACGCAACACTTCTACCTTATCGACTCTCGTCAATAGAGCGATAAGTCCTCAAAGTTGCCCTGAACGCAACACTTCTACCTTATCGACTCTCGTCAATAGAGCGATAAGTCCTCAAAGTTGCCCTGAACGCAACACTTCTACCTTATCGACTCTCGTCAATAGAGCGATAAGTCCTCAAAGTTGCCCTGAACGCAACACTTCTACCTTATCGACTCTCGTCAATAGAGCGATAAGTCCTCAAAGTTGCCCTGAACGCAACACTTCTACCTTATCGACTCTCGTCAATAGAGCGATAAGTCCTCAAAGTTGCCCTGAACGCAACACTTCTACCTTATCGACTCTCGTCAATAGAGCGATAAGTCCTCAAAGTTGCCCTGAACGCAACACTTCTACCTTATCGACTCTCGTCAATAGAGCGATAAGTCCTCAAAGTTGCCCTGAACGCAACACTTCTACCTTATCGACTCTCGTCAATAGAGCGATAAGTCCTCAAAGTTGCCCTGAACGCAACACTTCTACCTTATCGACTCTCGTCAATAGAGCGATAAGTCCTCAAAGTTGCCCTGAACGCAACACTTCTACCTTATCGACTCTCGTCAATAGAGCGATAAGTCCTCAAAGTTGCCCTGAACGCAACACTTCTACCTTATCGACTCTCGTCAATAGAGCGATAAGTCCTCAAAGTTGCCCTGAACGCAACACTTCTACCTTATCGACTCTCGTCAATAGAGCGATAAGTCCTCAAAGTTGCCCTGAACGCAACACTTCTACCTTATCGACTCTCGTCAATAGAGCGATAAGTCCTCAAAGTTGCCCTGAACGCAACACTTCTACCTTATCGACTCTCGTCAATAGAGCGATAAGTCCTCAAAGTTGCCCTGAACGCAACACTTCTACCTTATCGACTCTCGTCAATAGAGCGATAAGTCCTCAAAGTTGCCCTGAACGCAACACTTCTACCTTATCGACTCTCGTCAATAGAGCGATAAGTCCTCAAAGTTGCCCTGAACGCAACACTTCTACCTTATCGACTCTCGTCAATAGAGCGATAAGTCCTCAAAGTTGCCCTGAACGCAACACTTCTACCTTATCGACTCTCGTCAATAGAGCGATAAGTCCTCAAAGTTGCCCTGAACGCAACACTTCTACCTTATCGACTCTCGTCAATAGAGCGATAAGTCCTCAAAGTTGCCCTGAACGCAACACTTCTACCTTATCGACTCTCGTCAATAGAGCGATAAGTCCTCAAAGTTGCCCTGAACGCAACACTTCTACCTTATCGACTCTCGTCAATAGAGCGATAAGTCCTCAAAGTTGCCCTGAACGCAACACTTCTACCTTATCGACTCTCGTCAATAGAGCGATAAGTCCTCAAAGTTGCCCTGAACGCAACACTTCTACCTTATCGACTCTCGTCAATAGAGCGATAAGTCCTCAAAGTTGCCCTGAACGCAACACTTCTACCTTATCGACTCTCGTCAATAGAGCGATAAGTCCTCAAAGTTGCCCTGAACGCAACACTTCTACCTTATCGACTCTCGTCAATAGAGCGATAAGTCCTCAAAGTTGCCCTGAACGCAACACTTCTACCTTATCGACTCTCGTCAATAGAGCGATAAGTCCTCAAAGTTGCCCTGAACGCAACACTTCTACCTTATCGACTCTCGTCAATAGAGCGATAAGTCCTCAAAGTTGCCCTGAACGCAACACTTCTACCTTATCGACTCTCGTCAATAGAGCGATAAGTCCTCAAAGTTGCCCTGAACGCAACACTTCTACCTTATCGACTCTCGTCAATAGAGCGATAAGTCCTCAAAGTTGCCCTGAACGCAACACTTCTACCTTATCGACTCTCGTCAATAGAGCGATAAGTCCTCAAAGTTGCCCTGAACGCAACACTTCTACCTTATCGACTCTCGTCAATAGAGCGATAAGTCCTCAAAGTTGCCCTGAACGCAACACTTCTACCTTATCGACTCTCGTCAATAGAGCGATAAGTCCTCAAAGTTGCCCTGAACGCAACACTTCTACCTTATCGACTCTCGTCAATAGAGCGATAAGTCCTCAAAGTTGCCCTGAACGCAACACTTCTACCTTATCGACTCTCGTCAATAGAGCGATAAGTCCTCAAAGTTGCCCTGAACGCAACACTTCTACCTTATCGACTCTCGTCAATAGAGCGATAAGTCCTCAAAGTTGCCCTGAACGCAACACTTCTACCTTATCGACTCTCGTCAATAGAGCGATAAGTCCTCAAAGTTGCCCTGAACGCAACACTTCTACCTTATCGACTCTCGTCAATAGAGCGATAAGTCCTCAAAGTTGCCCTGAACGCAACACTTCTACCTTATCGACTCTCGTCAATAGAGCGATAAGTCCTCAAAGTTGCCCTGAACGCAACACTTCTACCTTATCGACTCTCGTCAATAGAGCGATAAGTCCTCAAAGTTGCCCTGAACGCAACACTTCTACCTTATCGACTCTCGTCAATAGAGCGATAAGTCCTCAAAGTTGCCCTGAACGCAACACTTCTACCTTATCGACTCTCGTCAATAGAGCGATAAGTCCTCAAAGTTGCCCTGAACGCAACACTTCTACCTTATCGACTCTCGTCAATAGAGCGATAAGTCCTCAAAGTTGCCCTGAACGCAACACTTCTACCTTATCGACTCTCGTCAATAGAGCGATAAGTCCTCAAAGTTGCCCTGAACGCAACACTTCTACCTTATCGACTCTCGTCAATAGAGCGATAAGTCCTCAAAGTTGCCCTGAACGCAACACTTCTACCTTATCGACTCTCGTCAATAGAGCGATAAGTCCTCAAAGTTGCCCTGAACGCAACACTTCTACCTTATCGACTCTCGTCAATAGAGCGATAAGTCCTCAAAGTTGCCCTGAACGCAACACTTCTACCTTATCGACTCTCGTCAATAGAGCGATAAGTCCTCAAAGTTGCCCTGAACGCAACACTTCTACCTTATCGACTCTCGTCAATAGAGCGATAAGTCCTCAAAGTTGCCCTGAACGCAACACTTCTACCTTATCGACTCTCGTCAATAGAGCGATAAGTCCTCAAAGTTGCCCTGAACGCAACACTTCTACCTTATCGACTCTCGTCAATAGAGCGATAAGTCCTCAAAGTTGCCCTGAACGCGCCATCACCATCACCGCCATCACCGCCATCGACACAGCATGAAGGACAAGGAGAAGATTGTTGAGGATGGAAAGGTCGAGGGAGGAGTTCTCGATTCGAATCGAATGGTTGAGGATGGGGAATTGGTGGGCAACTGCAAAACGTGGCCACTTAAAAACAGTTGTAGGGAAGTGGTGGAGAATTCGAGATAAATACGTGGATATTCAAAAATTTTACTGTTCATCTAAAGGTTTTAGAGGGGGGGGGGGGGTGCTTCATCTCCATCGGTATATGAGAATAATAGTGAAAGACCTTTTGTAAGATTAAAGGCTATTATGTTTGTAATGTGTCAAAATTAATTATTGGCAACATCCTATACATCTTGAATTTCATTACAAAAGAGGGGGGGGGGGGGTGCTTCATCTCCATCGGTATATGAGAATAATAGTGAAAGACCTTTTGTAAGATTAAAGGCTATTATGTTTGTAATGTGTCAAAATTAATTATTGGCAACATCACATACATCTTGAATTTCATTACAAACATATTGTTTCTTCACTAAACAGTTATTTATCAATAATATTCACACTGTGAGGACTCTGACATATGAAATTCGCCACGAATAATACTCGGAGTAGCAAGTGATCAATCTTGTAAATGCTATAATATGATTCCAATTTACAGATCTATATTGGAACATGTTGACCACGATGTCCAATAAATTTTACTATTAGAAAGAAGTTTCACAACCTAAACTCGCTTAAATATGATTTGTCTCAGCTACAAGTCAGGTCCTTACATTTATCTCACTATTTTCCTTATCCCTCATATTCTCTTTTTTGATTTTTTTGGTTAGCTGTATAAGCTGGTCTTCATGGATGTATGATCAGTCCCTTAGATGTATTTACCCAGAAATTTAGCACCAACTTAGAGTGGTTGAAGTCAATGACAATTTGTAATTTTCATGGAGCCCTATTCAACATCACATTAGTTCATTTGGTAAAGGAATGAAAAGAGAAGCATTATAGAATTTTCCAAGTCACAAGTTCACTGGGAAGATAAGGCACATGTTACATGCAAAAACAAAACGTAAAAACCGCAAGCAATTGATCACCAAAGTTGTGCACTGTTAGACAATCCTGGAACAACCACTTTATTGCTATGTTCCTTATCTTCATTGTAAAATCAATTCCTGGCAATGTGAGTGCATAGCTGAATCGATGCAGCCTTTAGATTTGGCACCTCTCCCCGTAGAAGAACCCCTGACAGCAAGTAAACATAAACAAAAGGATAGTTTAAAAAAACAATGTAGTATCTATACTCATACAAATGAAGGGTATAAAATGGAGAAGATATAAGTGAGTATTTGCACATGGAAACTTTCTTATCATTCAAAGGACTCCCCTCTATAACTTCTTCTACGTGATCTAAAATGTGTTTTTCAAAATAGAAGTAACAGTTGACTTCTAAGAATCAAGCATCTGAGCTGATGATTGTAAACTAACCATTCTGTATAGGCAGGATCCACAGTGAAACCATATATGTTCACAATGTCACACATGGAAAGTGCTAGCTCTATGGACTTCATTCCAGTTCCTTTAGCCCCCCTCTGTAACACTATGCCTTGGAATAAATATTAAATACACATGATTTGGATGCTCCTGTATGACCAGTTATTTTACAAGATTAAACTTAACCCAACTCTTGACATGTATGACTAAATGACATATAAACATCTTCCAATAATAATATGTAAAGGAGAAAAGTTATGAGAAAATTCACAAATGCAATTAAATTATTAGATCTTTACCTTTATCATTGCATTAAAATCTCTATGGGTCACACTTTTAATTATGAGCACCTCATCATCTGCAATGAATGAATTGTTTAATTCAGTATTGTAAAAGCTGCTATGCATTTGTCATAAACTTACCAATTCTTCATCCTTATCAGGATAAGCTTATAGGTCGATGGTAGAAAAATTTGCCGCAGCTTAAGTGGAAAACAATAAATATATATCCACAAGAATCTGAACTTACCAGATCCATTAAGAATAGCAGGCAATTTACGAGCATCACCTCTTACCACAAGACGAAAGTCCCTTTTCAGGCCCACATATTTAGCATATTTCTGTAAAAATCACAACACTTGGTAAATACTTGACCAAAAAATGATTCTCATAACTGCAGGATAGTAATGATTTCAAGACTTATTTCAGGATAGTAGTCACAAGTTCACTGGGAAGATAATGCACATGTTATATGCAAAAAAGAAAACGTAAAAACCGCAAGCAATTGATCACAAAAGTTGCCCACTGTTAGACAATCCTGGAACAACCACTTTATTGCTATGTTCCTTATCTTCACTGTAAAACCAATCCCTGGCAATGTGAGTGCATAGATGAATCGATGCAGCCTATAGATTGGGCACCTATCCCCGTAGAAGAACCCCTGGCATCAAACAAACATAAACAAAAGGATAGTTTAAAAAACCAATGTAGTATCTATACTCATACAAATGAAGGGTTAATCTAAATTTGCACATGTATTGAATAAAAGGAAAATGTTTCAAATGTGATAGGGAAGAACTTGCATTCATACATTTACCATTAATGTATATGCAATGGTCATATTACGATTGTCGAGTGAATGTTTAAGAAAATTGATAAGAAGCGTACAAGTTGGAATAGAAGACCTCCTTGAGATTTTGAGGTCTTGATTTTAAAGTTATTTATCTCTAAAACGAATAACACTTACATATGGGGAGGCAATATCAGAAGGCAATAACTATAGATTTGCGACGTCCAATAACACAACTTATGAAGATCTTAGAAGGACCAATCAAGATAACCTAAATAATGGCAGTAATCTCTGTTCGTTAAGAATTATTGCGCAGGTAGAGATTCACTTTTTATTCCTTTAAAATCACTTTTTTTAATCAGGTAGTTAAGATTTATTACATATATTTAATTTTCATTTGATTTATTTATCGCATTATCTTTATTTTAATCAATTTATTCTATTTTTTATCATCATTGCATTATTTATTTTTTTGCATATTGTTCATTTTGTTGTTTATAATTATTTTCTTTTATTTTATATTTAAAATTTTTTTCAATGTTTTCTTATTCATATTCCATTCATTTTCATTCATGACTGTTTATTATCTTAAGTTTGTGTCTATATTTCATCATTATTGCTTATTATAAGTTCGTTTTATTTCTCATGGGTATATGAATAAGTACATTCAAATTAATGAAATTCATATTTTTTTTTTATTTGTTTTTTATGTTATATTTTTTCATTTTTTTCTGCCATCATAATCATAATTATACAATACTTCTTACAACTGTTTTTTTATTCAGTATGATTTATATTTAAATTTATAGAATTACTTTTTATGTGAATTGGTAATTATTATCCCATTATAGGATACAGGTGTAAAATATTTTAAATAAAATTAATTATTTGTTCATTAAATAATATTCTTTTTTTCTATTAATATAAATCTGCAAAAGCATACCAATTGCACCTGAAAACTAATATGTGTAACTTACTACATATGGTCAAGTAGATGAAGTAAATATGCTGCACAATGAAATCATAATAATGAAGAAAAAAGTTCTCCAGATGACATTATTGATAAACATACCATTTTCACAGAGATGGAAGTTACCAAAGCCACAAAAAACTTCTCGCATACGAACTTGCCTGTCGCAAGACATAATAGGGCGAGGATATGGCTGAACCTTTGAACAGCCATCCTTATTAAAAATAAGAGCAGCAAAAATCGTCCCATCATCAAACAAATCAAGGTTCCTCCTCCAGTGAACAATCTTAATAACAGGAATGGCGCATCAATGAAGCACAGGTTTAAGTTCAACAATTTCATGGGTATATTTAATTTGATTTCAAAATAATAATTTAAAACTTTTATGGCAACAAATGATGCAAATTCAATAGCTTTTTAAAAGGCTAACCAAACACTGAATTTGCATTTCAAAATACATATTAATACAAGTAAATACGCAGATATCCAAACGAGCAGATTTGAGCATATTTTCGCGCGCATGCAACAATGCCATCATTGTATATTATTTCCTGTCTCGCAATATTAAATTGTATTTATATTGCACGTGGAAATGTCATAATAGCATGAAAATCATGGGTGTAAATTGAAACATTTTAACACCTAATTGGATAACAAAGAGCAATCATCCAATATAGTACCAATTAAACGCGACGAATCTAAAAGGGGAAAAGGGCATCAAAATCTCAAGGATACCTAAGCAATGCTGAGGATGAGGAATCCTGAAGGAACATGCAGCTTTGATAGTCTTGTCACTCACCTTCACCCCTCGAATGACCTTATAGCACATTTCTACAAGCAACGCGATAAAAAACCAACATCATAATCAAATAAACCTTCCGACAAATTCTAAGGATAGTTTGCAGATAAAACCCTTATCTTTACCCATGGTTGCACTTTCTCACCCGTCAACTCGTTTAGTACCACTTATCGCTCCCTCTATTATGCTACTCAAAATGTCGACCCGAAGGCGATAATTGCTAATAAACGGGTTTCTATAACTTCATTATTCAGATAAATAATTATAATATCTACAAAAGATATAAGCATAATTAACAGTATATCTACTTACTACTTAAGAGATATACACATATAATTTGTACGCTTGTTAGTGTTTCTTATGTATAATATTACTCATATTTCTTTCTCTGTATATATTTTATTATCTTTCACTATATACTTTTGTTACTATAATTATACTATTAATTTTTTCTTATTAACAATCTTGAAAGCTGAATGTGAGACTGTCTGTTTGTTATTAACATACAGCTTCATGAAGTTTGTATCAGTTTCAGGACTGCAGGTGTACGTCAGCAATAAGTATCATTACATTAGATTATTATATATGTTATTATATAAAATATATAAATTATTACGAATGATACATATTAATTCCTACTATAACTTCATTATTCAGATAAATAATTATAATATCTGCAAAAGATATAAGCATAATTAACAGTATATTTACTTAGTACTTAAGAGATATACACATATAATTTGTACGCTTGTTAGTGTTTCTTATGTATAATATTACTCATATATCTTTCTCTGTATATATTTTATTATCTATCACTATATACTTTTGTTACTATAATTATACTATTTAATTTTTCTTATTAACAATCTCGAAAGCTGAATGTGAGACGGTCTGTTTCTTATTAACATACTATTTGAAATAATTCATAATGTGGATGTGAGAATGTTTGTGGCTATAAACTTACGTATTGCTTTTTGTGGCTATAAACTTTATGATTGCTTTATGCATTGCTTATTATGACTAAAATTTATCAGATTGAGAATGAGTATGGACCTGTGGAGCACTATGGCGGCCCCGTGACAAGTGTGTATGCAACATGCAGGCAAAAATTGCGCTTGCTCTTGATGTTGAGTCCATGGATAATGTGCAAGCAAGTTGATGCCCCCTGATCCAATTGTATCAGTTTATTCCCTTTCCACTCTTCATTGGCATTCAAGTTGTTTCTATGCAATCTGGTGAAAACCCATGTTGTTAAAGTCCCTTAGACATGAGGGTTGAGAATATGATTTATATATAATATAACTGATGCTCACATAAAATACATTCAAACAATATGTAAACATTAATATAACAAATTAGACAAGCAATGAAGTTTGCTTTATTGACACTCATTCAATTTTTGCATCCATTTTTATTTGGATTTGTTAATCGCGAAGAAAAGGGGAGAAGGATCGCACGCAGATCGCTGCTTCAAGTGCCATTTCTTCGATGATGCGATGATTTGAGGAAGATAGGGAGAATGAGGCGATGAGTTCACTGATCAATGAAGTTTTGAGGAGCGAATTCTAAGCTTGGTATGTAATTCTATTTTGAATTGATTCTTTAGTTTTTTTTGGTGTGGAATGAATTGTTGAATTTAATTTCAGTTCGTTGGAAAGAAAGGAGGAGAAGGGTGGAGGGTTCTCTGCACAGGAGGCATTTTCTTGGTAAATTCCTATTGTAAAATTTCTGCTTCTTGGTTGTTTATTCTATGTTAGGTTGCTATTCTTACAAGAACCATCTCACGTGCATTTGTTTTCCCTATGGTGCTGGTTTTCGAATATTTGATCATATCATTATACAATTTATTTGTTTTGCATATTGAAAAAGTCACATTAGACCCCTAACAATTTTTTGTTTTGTTTTTTCACCTTCTTTGGTTGCTATTTTGTAAATTCAAATTTGTAGCAAATGACAAGCAGAAATTCTGGCAACGTAAAGAATAACATGCACACATGCACACTCATATTATGTTAAGGTAAAGAGCTTTTTCTCTTCATCTTAATTACTTAATTTGGTATTTGAGAATTGTTTGCTTAAGAATATTAGTAGAATGCAACAAGGTGGTTTCAAACATGTTGAGCTAGTTTTTGAAGATGAAGGACCTGGTGTAGGGGAATGAAGTTTTTGTGTGAACACGTATTTGTAAGTACAAAGCCCTTAAAATAGTTTGAGAAACTAAACATGATAGATCAATTCTGTTTAAGGTTTCAATATGCTTCCTCGCAAACAGAGACATAATTTTTCGTTTTTTAGAAGTAGCAATCTCTATCTTTAGCTGAATTAAGCAGCATTGCCAATTATGAAATAAGCTCCATATATAGGAATAAACATTCATAATTAGACTGGGATCAGACATACTGCCTGCAAATTGCAATTTGATCTGGCCAACAGAAATTTTAATTGCAAGATAAACATGGGTGAGATTCTTTGTAGGGATAAAGAATGCTGGTTCTTACAAAATGCATTATATGAGTGCTTAAGAGTTAAAATCAAAATTCTTTTTAGATTTATGTGCTTATGTTGTATTTCTGAATCAGCTCAAAATGTCAACATATTTCAACACAAAGTTGTCAGAAGTTAAATGGCTACTAGTATTAGTAACATATCACAAATATGCGTTTTAGCGTTATGTTTGTATTCCCCCCACCACACCACCCACACCCCAGCCCCACCCCAAAAGAAAAAGTCAATGATGCTTTTTAATGCATATCCATTTCTATCTTTAGCCCATTTGCTTTTTGTTAGAATCCTCTTAACATATCGGCTGTTGTCTTTTTTACTTCACTTATTGTAATTCCTATGATCAAATAATTATAGGCCTACCAGCATGAATTTCTTCAACTCTATGAAACGAGGGAACTTCTATATGAAGCTGTGATGTTGTGTTGACAACACCATAGACATATCATACCTCCTAACATATGTTTAATTTTGGACACTGATTGGTTACTGATTTATATTAAGCTGTGTTGTAAATTGTTAAGCTGATATGTTTAATTTGGACTGATCTCGTAAACATTCTTGGTCCATCTTTAATTAATTTCTTCAAGTGGATTTCTTCAAAAAGAGTCAATATTGATGCGTCGATCCTGCTTTTAGCTCTTTTGGGTATATATCTTGTATGTGAGTGAATATTTAGTGGTTTCTGCCTGTGTTGATCTGCTTTTGATTTCATAGCTGATGTGATTTCATAAACTGATGCTTAATTATATATTTTCTATAAAGAAAATAATTGATGTATATGTTCAATTTAATACTGAATCAGTCATATACTACCATTGGACATTTCATAATAATGAAAAAAGCGGGCACACATGTTCTTCCACCATCGAGAATCTCTAATCAAACTCAGCAATTGACTACTCAAAACCTCAAAATTAAAAATAAAAAACCAATAAATTTTTTTCACCCACCTGTCAGAGCTTTCATATCAACACCTTAACAATAGAAATCAATTCCCCAAACACATATAAGATACAAAAGAAGTTATAACGAAAAAAGAACTAATTTAAGGATAATCAAATCACAACCCAAAATAAAAAATCCGCTAAAATTTAAACGAACTCAACTCAACCAACTTACTTTCTAAATGTCGCATACCAGCGCTGTTGGAATTTTTAAACCGCTGTCGCTGAAACTGTACAGGAAATCGAAAATTAGTGGCAAATTTTTAGGAATAAATGACGAGGACTTGACAGAAGTAAAAGGGGATAGTTAGAATTTAGGTTTTGTATAAAGGAGTGAAGATGAAAAAGAAATACCTTATGGAATCCACAATTGCATAAATCTTTGAGCGTATGAATGCAGAAATTCTGAAAAATAGTAAATCTGTTGCAGATTTCTGTAACGCCTCGGCTTCGAGGCGAGAAGCTTTTATCCAACCGAATAATCCACATCTCTCAAATTCCTGTAACTCTCGGCTTTCGTCGGAGAAAGCGATAATCGACGATCTCTTCGGCTTCGGCGGAGCAGGAAGGCGCTACGGAGGTGAAATTGCAGATGCTGGCGACGAATTTAATGTAACTGATTTTTAAGAAATTTATGTAACATTAAGGGAGAAATGGGTATATTTATAATGGTTGAAGGTTATTTCGGATTGGGAAAGTTTTTTTAGGAACCGGCTCTTTCTTAAAGGGTTAGATAGATTATTAACATGTAATGTGTCTATAATACATTATTAGACATTACTAATAATTAAATGAGAGTTTTAGACAATAACATTTTTTCAGAAGTTTTAAAGGACCAAGTTAGACAAACTTTCATAATACAGATAATTAATAATAATAATTAATTAATTTTGTTATAATATTAGAATATAGATATTTTTAAAAAATTAGGCCGGGTAAGCAGAGTCCATAGAAATTTTCTACAACTTCCTCTTTTAAGGAGTAGATTCTAAGCGAGAGTCATATAATTTCATTATTTTAAATTTTTTAAAATATTGAGAACTTATTCAAAAATATGATGCCCTTTAAGTTTTTTTTCACATCTCTGTGCTATATAAATATCAAGCAGAACAAGCTGCTGAGCCTTATTATCTCATGATGAATATGTATTTATCAAGGCGATCACATACTATTGCTTGTGGTATTAAGACGTAAGATGCTTTATTCCGCAAACTAACTCAGTGTCATTCCAAGAGCAAACTTTATATAATCTGTCCATACTGCCAGTACAAATCCAAGTAATCACATGCTTCAAACCATCAATAAATTTCCCCAAAAGATCACAAATTATGCACTCATATCGCGATATTCAACAGATAGCGCACCGTCAGAAAAAATTATACTTCAAGAACCACACGACCTAATCTAACTCTAACACAATAAAACAAACAAAATCCATTAACAAAATCAAACATCAAATTTATAAATTGATCAGACATATACCAGAATTCTATAAGAAAAGCATCAATTACACGTGTAGAAAACATGCCATTTCATGTTCAAATCAAGTTCCGAAACAAAAAATTTACCTTTAAAGAGCTTAAAGGTAGTGCGGAACACTCCTTCGCTGAGATAATCTAGAACACATCTTGCCTTCTTTCGAAATGTAATAATCCCTAGATCATTGTCACCAGCTTCGCGCATTATGAAACCTGCCACGAAAACCCAATCTCAACAAACCACCAAAATAAACACACACACAATCAAGCAAACAGCAAAACAACTTTTCCAATCCAATTTGCTAGTATGATCATAAAGTTCATATTTCCTCGGAAAATACGAGAACATGAGCAACAGATCTACAATCAAACATCACAAAACCCAAATAAACAAATGCAAATCCAAACAAACCCAATAAATCAATAAAAACTTACCATCCTGGGTCACAAACGGATAATCCGAGGCACCCAAATTAATAAATCAATTTCAATCCCAATCAAAGACTTCCACAAGAATATACCTAAAAGTAAATTTTGATGATGTGGATGTAAATCCAAGCTTATGACGTTAGAGTCGTGCTAAGTCTTCGCACTACCTAATATATGAGTACATATATTCACCCGTGAAAATTTGACAATCCCATTAAAAAAATCTAAAATATTCATTAAGGTTTCTACAAACTAATGCTTGACAAGCTCCAAACACACCCTTTCCATAATGTTATAAGAATGTTATAAGAATGTTTTAATTTAAAGTACGATTATTTTCTGGTTGGATTGCACGTGCAATGCACGTGGTAAAATTTTTAATTTATTCTTTTGTTATTTATTCATTTTATTAAGATTTATTTAATTTAAACCATGTATCAAACATATGGATACATACATTGCATGTGATACATATTAAGAAACTACAAGAGTCAAAATTAATAATGTTTTCATAATTATGCATTGAACTTATACACAATACACAAGATGAATGCCAATTAAACATTATCTCACAGGACTAATTAGAATATTGTCCATAGAGAAGGAACCTAATCAACCATATATATGGTGCACGTGATAAAAGTGACCGCACAATCAAGAAAAAGTTTGTTGATCTTAGCTTCAAGTCCCGATGAAAAACATTGGCTGATAACCAATAACACACAAAAAACAACCATTGATATTGTTAGAGAAAAATAGTTGTCAACGCCCAATCAAGCCAGCAAAAAAAAGGCATTCACCAATGTGGATATACTTCATAGCTATGGATATACTTCATAGCTCGCAGAAGCTGGTACATAAAAAACTGATGGTGTTCAGGCGTGAGATCGTCATTTGCCTTGATAACTTGATTAAGGTTAGATTCCATCAACTTGAAAACAACATAAATATCTTTAAATTCTCTCCGCGAGGGAGGAAGCATTATGTGCCTAATTTCTACAATGTCAGGGTGGCGGAGCAGCCCAAGCAATTTGATTTCTCGCAGGATGCGAGTAGCATCCGAAACATGCTCGAAGACATCGTTTATCTTCTTGATTGTCACCTTCTCTCCATTGTGGGTATCCACGGCCGCGTCGACGACCCCATAACTTCCCTTGCCGACACCTCTTGAATCTGGTATCGGCTCGCTTCGCCGTATTCAGTGAAGAAGTCTGCTTCATTTGTGCTCTGCATAAGTTCATAGCTTAAAAAGCTAGCTACCTATCTTAAAGAAAATGCAGATACGGTTAAAAATCCTAACTTGTTGCTAACATTGAATGATACAATGAAAGTTAGCAAGAATCAAACAACTGGGTAATTGAATTCTTGTTGAAATGGAAATCAAACTATAAATATCTCCAGAAGGATATGTATACCTGAATACAGTCAGGTAGATCATCACAAAGCATAAAGATTAATATTGGAGAAACGGCTCCACTCACAAGCCCACGTTGTAAAGCACCCTTCAGGGGAGAGAGATGCCTTGGTTTTGGAGCATTCCACTCCTGCAGGAAACAATTTACTCTTTTTCAAACAATCACCAATAAGAACAAGAATATAACGGAATATGAGACGTATACATAGGAAGGCATACTTGAAGATATCGAAACCTTCTCAGTTAAAAAAATTGCTTATGTTAGTAATTCAATCTACAATATTGATTCCACTCTCAGATTCTAATCCAATGAGCTCATGTAATAGTGGCAGAAATAAAGTCTAAAAGTATTTGGGGGGGAAACTTTTATGCACTAAGATCGTCAAACCAATGCAGACACATTCAACAGTGAATTTACCATACATTGAGAAGTTTTCTCCTATTATATTGAAAGTTGTAGAGTAAGATTTACGGACATGTTGGGCTATGTGGCATTTGTTAGATGTGCACTCAACACATCCTTGAGGACTCGTGCCAAGTGCCATTTTGATTCATGACACGCTCACAAATTAGTGTGCATCTCCCGCGATAAACCTCTAGCAATATATTTTTCTGTGTTTTATGGTCCGTTAGCAATTTGTCCTAGATTCTTTTGTCTTTAATTTTTTACTAATATTTGCGACATACACTCAGAATAACAAATTACAAAAGTCCCAACTCCTCACTAATTCTTTTCCATGTACTCTTTATACAAGTCCCAACTCCTCACTAATTATTTTCCATGTACTCTTTATACTGGTTTAACAGAATAAATTCAGTGGTTAAGCTTGGAGAGACTGGAATTTAAGGAAGCAATGTCATCAGATCATTTCAAGAACTCTTCAATCTATCATAGCAAGTTGAATGAATCTACTATTTCTGCGTCACGCACCAGGTGGGAGTCCATGATTTCAATTTCGACGCCCATCCAGCCTCATAAGGGTGACATATGATGTACTTACCACTGAGAAAAATCTCCAACACTTGTGATAAGCTGCAGAAATAACAAATGCGTGAGGCCCTGTACCTGTACCAAATCAGATGTCTCCAAACTCCAAAGAGGGGAACGTCAAAAGGATAAAGCTTCATTTTTTTTGTGTGTAATAAAGTGTCCATGTATGAAATACGCTCCTAAAGTAATCGCATCGTGAGCATGTGAATGTAATCAGTTTACTGCCCTACAAAATTAATTGTGCTCTTTCATATGCACCTGTTTGGAATGGAGTTTGATATTGTTATACGCATGATGGATCCACCCTACCTACCTATGCAATCTACAAACTCCTTCCTTCACTCGCACATAAGCCGGATCAGGCGGTAAACATCCCAATATTGAGATCGGAAGGGGGGGTGTAGCAGTTACCTAAACCTAATCCTAATTACCCCATCCACAGAAGCAACACGTAAATTTTACAAGAATAATAACACTAATAATAATGGCAATCTTAAATGATGTTGAGATCGCCAGGAGGAGGAGCTCACCGAAAAGATGGAAGGGGAGGCGTGGCCGAGAGGAGCGAAGAGAGAAGTCCATAGCGCAGGAAGAAGAAGCACCACCAGTCAACATTCATATTACCAACCTTTTCCTTTTAAAGTTTAATGTTTAATGCTATCAGTCATTGCCAAGAGATTTGGCACAGTGATGACGTAAGGTTGATCATAAAACTAATATTAGACTCTCTATTTGGAGTTCCCACAGGACACGAAACTAATGATTTTTATGATCCAGAAATTTAAAATATGAGAATATGTTATATATTTGCAGTATCAGAATTCAGAAATGCAATTACCAGAAGCTGAAGGTTCATCAATCTGGAGCAATCAAGCTTCAAGATCTCCAAGGAGCAACAATTGCTGAACACCAAAAAAAGGGGGGAACAGAAAAAAAACTATTAGTGGACATGTAGATACAACCAGATGACAAACTAACAAAGATATAACAGGAAATTGATTTCAAATTAAGACTATTGAGATTGAAGCATGCTAGATCCACTTCCTTCAGGTTAGCAGACAAGTTAAGGTTTAACTTAGATAGATGAAAACAGCAAGCTGAAGACGTGACTGTAAATTTCTTAATGTTGGGACATCCAATACAGTTGAGGGTCTACAACTTCTCTTGAACTTTTCATTTTTTTCTCTGATTTCTTACGAGTCATAATAAATCCATAAATGCCATGACAATTTGAAGCCTAAAATGTTAATAGGAAATAGCAGATGCAAGCAGTTCTTTATTGAGCTCA